TATGGGGCCCGGCCCAGCAGAAGTCAATGCAAATCATGAAGAAGTGCATAACAGAAGCACCAGCATTAGCAAGCATGGACTATGAATCAGGACTTATGGTGTACTTAACGGTTGACGCTAGTCAATACGGTGCAGGAGCTGTCCTTCAGCAAGATGGAAGAGATGGACGAAGGCATCCAATTCGCTTTGAAAGTACACTATGGTCCAAAGCAGAGTCATGTTGGCATTCAACCAAGCTTGAATGCAAAGCCGTCCTATGGGCATTGAAGAAATTCCGCATATGGCTCTATGGAATCCACTTTACTATCGAAACAGATGCACAAACCTTAATTGCACAATTAAATCGGACATCAAACGAAAACCCTGGTTCTCTGATGAATCGGTGGATTGCTACAATTCTTATGTGGGATTTCCAAATCAAACATGTTCAAGGGAAGAAGAATGCGGTAGCAGATGCTCTATCTAGGTATCCAATGGAAGAAGAATGGGAACCCCCAAATGAACCAGAAGATGATCTAGAAGATTTTATTGATGCTAGCCTCAATCACATGATTGTAGCATCACTATTTAATATTACAGATCAGGAAGAAACAAGAGAACGAATACTAGACGATTCATACTCGGACCAATGGGAACAAGTAGCACAGTTCCTTCTGACAGGAAGAGCACCTCGAATGCCGCGAAGAGAATTAAAGAACTGGAAGAAACGAGCTCTTACATTCTGCACTAAAGGGACACTACTCTTTAAGAAGACATCAAGGAATATAGCTGTCCGAAGAGTAGTAGACAAGCATAGTATGCAACTAGCTGCTATTCAAGAAATACATCAGCAACTTGGACACCGAGGCATTAATTCAGTATATGGAGTACTATCACAAAGATACTGGTGGGAGAACATGTATGAAATGGTTAAGAAAATGGTAGCCACCTGCAAAGAGTGCCAGATCCACACCACTAAACGAAAACATGAAATGCTTACAACGACATATTCATGGACAATTTAGGAATGGGTCACAATAGACGTGGTCCATATGCCGGCATGCGATGGAAAAGAATTCTTGGTACTAGCAAGAGAGTACCTCACTGGCTAGGTAGAAGGAAGAGCATTGTCTAAGGCAACGGCAGAGAATGTGGCCAAGTTCATCTACGAAGAAATCATGTGCCGATGGAGCATGGTTAGAAAGATAAGTGTAGATGGGGGACCAGAAAATCGGCGATACGTTGACGCATTAACTCAAATATACGGAATCACAAAAGTGGTCGCATCAGCTCATAACCTAAAAGCTCAAGGCAAAATCGAAGGTGGACACAAACCAATTGTTGGAGCCTTAAAGAAATTACCGGGTAAATGGACAACAAACCTACCAACCGTTCTATGGTCCGACAGATGCTCAATACACAACCCTACAGGATATGCACCTGTAGTATTGATTACTGGACAAAACCCAGTTCTACCCATAGAACTCAGTATGCCAACCTGGCAAACGTTACCATATACCAACGTCAAAACAAGGGAAGATTTACTAAGGATTCGTGCTATGCAATTAGACTTAAGGGACAAGAATGTTGAGGAAGCAATTGCAAGAACAAGAAGACTACGACAACAAAGCAAAGAGTATTGGGATTCTACTAAGGAAATCAATCATGATACACTTAGCAATGGGGATCTCGTCTTGCTATGGGATTCCTTAAAAGAAATTGACATGTCCAAAGCAAAGAAACTTCACCGACGATGGTTAGGGCCATATCGAATTCGAGCTGCATACCAGGACAAAGGATATTACCAACTAGAGGATCTGGATGGAGCAGCCTTTCGACACACTACACCAGGATACAAATTGAAGAAATTCTTTCAACGAAGCGTTCAGGACATGGCAGATATTGATAGAGGAATGCTTGAATTAGCACTGCAACGAAAAGCACATAAACAACGCTCAAACCTAGAAACATATGATCGATATTCTTCTGCAGACATTCAGGAACAACAACTGGACACTCTCACAGAGAACCATCCTAATAATCGACACCCAAAGGTTATCATCCCGGACCACAGCATAGATCTTTCTCAATATCAAACATTCCATGCCGAATCAGATGAAGAATCAAACGACTAAGAGCCAAGGGACGACTCTTTTAAACCTAGGGAGGGACGTGTCGATCGAAACTCTATGCAACGCTCTTAAGGTGGAAGAGGATTAACCGGGAAAACGCCGACGCGCCTAGCCAATCAGATTTCACAGAGTAACGCTAACCGACTACTCTGCCAAATCCCTATTGGACGACGCAATGCGACTACCAATATTAATATAAATGGTCGCGAAAAACCTAAGAAGAACGATAGAAAGCAATGATGAAGGGAATAGTTGTTGCTAGTCTATTTACAAAAAGCGGGTCTATATAGCGGTAATGGGCGTGGTAGACCAGTAAAGAAGAGAAGAGTCGAAAAAGTGAAGTTGAAATACAAACGAAAGGCGGTGGGTTGATTGTTCTCGTTCAACAATCAAGTATGGAAAACGCGGTGAGACAGGCAGATATAATCCCCCCACCCGCCTCCAGGAAACTGAGTTCTCTATTCCCTTTCTTGAAAACACGAATCGAACCAAGAAGCAATGGCGTCAAACCAACCACCATCGACACCATCAACCCCACGAGCATTAAGATCACGATCAAATGTACCTCCTCCTCTTACTCCCAGTACACCCAGACGTGCTGGTACCGAACCAGCGAGCGGCTCGGTAGAATGGCAACCAGGAGTGGTAATCGAAGATCGAGGTGGTGAACTACAACAATACCGCAACTTCCAACAACCATAGGTCAATGGTATCAAGATGCTGGAGGATCCCGAAAGACAAGCAAGGTCTGTTACCAGCACTCACAACTAGTTGCGAGCAAGCTAGGGTATCAGATACAAGGATACAACCATGCGAATCTCACCGAGTTGCTGTATCTGAGTTACTTTCGCAGCGAAAGGATTCCAGACATGATGACTAACGATGCAACTTACATGATGTTTCGGAAAGATGTGCAAGGATATCGAGACTCCGACGACCTACTATCATATCGATTTTTCCCAGCACCACGGAAAATACAGTTCTCTGAGGAAGATTTCAACCGATTGCAGAAGATATTGCCTAAAGCACATATGAAAGCTCTTCATTCGTTTGCGATAACAGGCAACTTCACATTCGATTGCTTCTCATGGATGTTCGAGGACCCAGACTTAGTTCACATACTGGATGAAGAATATCGAATGTACGACTACCATGTGCGAAGAATCAATGGACGATCGAATTTGGGGTGGGGCAGGATCATGAACCATTCCTTGTTCCAAGGATTGATTCGAGGGGACTTGGAATACTACTTGTTCTACCTAATGATTCGACGACAACCGACCTTGATTTCCTACCCATACTACACTAAGTCAGCCAATGCACAGAATCCCCAAGGCAAATTTCGACACATCGATCTGAATATCAAACGTGCAGTGCACCATGGGCATGGGATTGAAATGGTTCAGGGAAGTGTCAGTTGGGATGACGAGGATGACGGCAACTGCACGGAAATAATCCCCGGATTCCACACGGTGCCAAGGTTGCTGATCCAGGCAAGAGAAGGCGCACAATGCTGCCATGGTTTGTTCGTGTGGCAGACAATGGAAAGGATATGGAAGTGATTGAGATGGGTACATATGCAGAAATTGCAGAAGCATATCAAACTCTATCTGCACCACCTACTTCTCCGTCTGGTTACCCAAACAAGTATGGTGGAGTCAACTTCAGCTTCCCAGGAACAGTGCCACCTCGTTATCTTTCACCACTATCAAGGGCTCTTGTTTGCCAATTGAAGTGGGATGCTATACCTGTCTTCGAAGAATTCCGTGAACTATTTAGACCCAACACGTCATGGGCTCGAATCCGTAAAAGAATTCAGATGTGTAGACAGGATTATGTGAAGCATATCAAGGAATCTTGGCCACTAGTCAAGAAA